TGCATAAATTTTAGAGAATGAACAATGCCAATATAGAACAGTAACACGACTGTTATTAGGCAGTAACAAAAAAAAAAGGTTTCAATTATGTATGTGTTTCTATAGTAAAATTTATGTTACTATAGTAACATAAATACAACAGTGTTGCTATAGTTCCATCCATAGTAACACAAATGTTACTGTGTTTATGTTCCTATATTAACACGTATGTTATTGTACTTGTGTTCCTATAGTAACACGAATGTGACTATATTAATGTTACTAATTCAATACTCTAGCAAACAAGATTACAATGTAGGTTACAAAAACTCACCTAGCATAGATTGTTGAAAAAGAAACATTTGTAATTTGTCTCCTCCATGAGTATTTCTCCCCAACATTCAATTACCTGAGTAATAACACAATTTTGTTAAATAACAAATATTCAAGGATTCCATAATTTATTTAAATTTTCAAGTCGCATGGTACATTATATTGTTATGCAGCTCTTCCCCATCCAAATTTCAACACATCTTCAATATCAATGATATTTTTATACTTTTTTCAACTCCATAAAGTTGTCCTTTTAATTAAAAATAGTACATGTTAATAAAATAGAGTATAAACAGTAATATATATAAGGTGTTTCATAATTGTCATTAAGTTACTTACTTTTTTCCTTCAGCCTTATGCATTTGAACCAATTTGTAGTACACATCCGGTCTTAATTTCTTGCAGGTTTTCCATCTTCGTGCTTCAATTCTATTACTTTCTGGCTTCTCACTTGACATTATAATTTTCAAATCATCAACATCAATGCAGCTATCTGGTATCTTCTCTTTCCCTTTAATTTTGTCTACTTGTTCCTGACTTTCATCTTTTTTCAAAATTTTCTTTTCTCCCTTTTTTTCCTACTATACTCATAATCTTCATCTCTCTTTCTTTTTCTTTATTTCCCTTTGATCTTTCTCATCATCAATGTTGGTTCTTTACCTTTGGTGGGCTGAGGTTTTGGCAGAGTCCGTGAGTACCTCTGAATAACTGCATGCACTACCATATCAGCTACAACATCATGCAGGGAATTGTTCTCTTATTCTAATTCAGACACTCTTGATGTGAGTGTTTTAATTTGATCTTCTTGAGTCTCTTTGTTTTTCTCCAAAAGATTAACTAAAACTTTCAATTCTGAAATCCGATTATCCTTGTCAACAAGTTTCATCACATACTCTTCAATCTCTTTCAAATCTTCCTCCCTTTGGTTACCTCCAATATTCTTGATGACCGTTCGAAGTGCTTCGTTCTTCCTAGTTGGCATTTGGATAGTAAATTTTTGCACCTCATTTTTAACAATCAATTCGGACTCACCTTCATTGTCATGTGAAGGTTATTGTGACTTTTCTTCGTGTGTTACCACTTCATCTGGTTCAATAATGGTAGACTCTCAAATGACCACATCAACAAATGCATCAAAATGTTGGACGTCTTGATCTCTTTTGGGACAGGATGATCGTTTGTATGAACATGTAATGCATCATCACTTTTATGGACATCTTCATTAACCACAATATTATCATTAGCATCTACATTAGGTTCATCACATTCATATTTCAATTCTTAATTTAAAGCACTTTTGCTGGCCACAGTGCTTTGTTGCGAAACATCCATATTATCCGGCACATTCTTGGTATTTTTCCGATTTACTTTCGTTAAGCACTTCTCACCAAGTGTTTTCTTAAGTCTTTTTCGGGAAACTTGAAAACATCATTAGTAACGCAAAAAATATACCCAACAAATGTTTACCTCAATTGAATCAAATGACCATCAATTATATAGTAACATCAATTTCACAGTAACATTCATAATAACATCAATTTGTTCTACTAGTAACATCCACTGTAATAACAATTTTAATAGTAGATTAATCACACAATTAACATTATCATGCAATCAACCAATTGTCAAAATTAATAGTAATATGATAAATTAATTTTTTTATAATACCTGATTAGCTGCGATGTCAGACAATGTGTTTTGCATGAAAGACATCCAAAATTTTCTTAAATCCCATTTGATCCAACAAGGGAAAGCATCTGTCTTGTCGGCCACAATAAGTGATGTGTGTTCACATATCCAGTATTACAAATTAGATTTAGTTACATTAGTTAGAATAGATAATGTTTAATAATTTCAAAAAATAATTCATAAAAATTAGTAATTAAAAAACTTACAAGTAACAGTAGTACACAACCGATTATTGCACTGGGTATGTCAATCTTCAACCTTATAAAATTCATCATTGCATCAATTGTTGCTTGGGACCAATCATATTTTTTCATTTCATCCAAATTTTCTATGTACGACTCATACCCCATCCAATCGTTTGTCTCATATTTGTAGTCAGTAGTGTCACTAAGACATATAAAGAGAACAACCTAGCAAAATCTTCACTATCATCCTTACCAAAACCCATTGCTGCATCTTCCAGCCTACTTTTTGTTATTGGTGCATTCAACCTCTTAGTGTTATTGAATCTCCTCACAAATGGTAAAAAAAAATTTACACTTTGGGAGAAACAATAGGATCCACACCATCTTCTATACCAAAAATGAGGGTTACATCACTCTTTAGTATTTTTAAACTTTTTCCACCAATAAGAAATCTTGATGTTTCAACATCAAACGTGGTAATTATGTCCACAATACTCTTGTCATTCTTCTTGAACCATTTTTTATCCATTTCAAAAGTTAATATTGTATGGAACAAATGTCAAAATGGTGTCCTCTTTAGCTATTCTCTATGAAGATCTTTAATGTTTAGGTCATTAATAACATTCATCAATGGAAGCAAGTTAGACCAGAATTGGTGAAATGAAGCCACTTTTGCAGCAGCAAATTTACCTATTGTTGCCATCAACCTATAACATGACATTGAATTATCAATGACTGAACAACATAAAATAACATGACACAAAATCACCTAACTTAATGTATATAAAATAATTAGCAAAACTTATGTGCAAATATAACATTAACAGTACCACCAAAGTTGTTGATGTACACATAGTAACATGATTTTAGTAACATGATTATAGTAATATTAATTAATAAACTTAACCCCAGTACCATCTTTATAGTAACATCAACCTAACACAATTCAGTAACATCATTTTTTTCATTATACAATTGATTCCATTAGAAATCCATTGAGTCCACATGTTACAATTTTGTAGAATGAACATTACATTATACAAAACATTGTTCAAAAGCAACTTGAAATTTTTTGGAGGAAACTTGTGATATTTTGATAATAGTTATTCAGTAACATCATTTTTCATATACTGAATAAATAAAAATAATTCACTCCCAATTTACATTTAAATCAAACAACAACCCCTGAACTCTTTGTAAACAACATATATTGCATTAAAAGTAAAAATCATAGGATGTGATTAGTAACATATCTACAATAACATCAATTTAACAGTAACATCCACAATACTCAAGCAAATTGAAATTATGAAATCAATTTTCCAGTAATCACACAGTAACATGATCTATTTCATGTTATTTTGAACCAATAGATTTCGAATATCTTGAACAACGCAGAAAGCAACAAAAAATTTTCATAGGTAATTATACAACACATTAATTAAGTAACAGTAGCATGAACAGTTCAACCCCCAATGCTATATTGTGTTTACAGTAACATCAAATCTCAAAATATTATAGTAGAAATACAATTCAAAAATTAAAAATTAAAAAAATCCCTAATTGTAACACATTGTCAATGGTTGAATTAGAACACACAACTCCAATCAAGAATATCAAGATGCCGACATTTTATGAGATACATTTTGAAAAGTGCTCTCACAGTAACATGAGATATTCCACTAAGACAACACCAATGAATTTCAAATGTATTACAAAACGAAAAAAAAAAAAAAAAATTCATAATACATAAGTACTTAATATAGTAACAAGGAATCACAATTTTATTGTGAAAAAAAAAATTGTTTGACAGGTTGAACGATATAGTATGTAAATGTTGCTTTAAAACTCTAAAATAAACATCAAATAACATGTACAATCACAAACCTTTCAAATTCTTAAGAATCCCAATGTTGGTGAAGATGTTTTGAATGCCGAAAGAACAACTTCAACTTCGCCAATGGAACTTGAGGAGTAAAATCGGTTTTTTCTCTTATGGTTTGTAACCCCTTTGATTTTTGAATTTAGGCGGTTTGGGTAATGACGGTTAATGTTTTTTGGATAAAGAAACACAAAGAGATTTGAGGTTTTTTGGTCGGATTTGTAGGTTGGAATGAAGGGGGTGAGTTTCTGTGTTGAGAGCCGAATATGGAGGGTTTCTCCATTTGGCATAGAAATAACAATGTAGACGTCGTTTGTGGTTTGTCAAAAAATAAGAGTACAATAGTAATCTTGACAAAAAGTGGACTTATAATTAAATAAGTTTCTTTGCAGGACTTATCTCCAAACAAGTTCATCTAAAGGAATCGACCTCCAAATTTCTCATATAATTAACGTGTTTTACCGGCACATTCGTCAATTATTTAAAAAATGAAGCTTCTTTCAAGCAAATTTCTTTATATTAAATGTAGAGTAAATTATATATATATAGCCCTCAAAATATAATCTTGGTATCAATTAAATTTTTAAATTTTTTTATATCAATTAAACCCTAAACGCTCTAATTATGTCAACCAAGTTCTTTTGTTTGCCTTAGTTAGTTTGTGTCAGTCACATGACTATATGTCACATAAAGACAAAATAATTTAATTGACACAATTGGATAATTTGAGGGTTTAATTGATTAAAAAACAATCAATAACTTAATTGACAAAAATATCATAAACTTCGTACCTGAGTTTATCCGATCATTTATATTATAATGGAGTCAAATGTCATTGCTTAGCTAGCAAGAAAAATCGGCTTTATATGCTTTGATAACTTTTTTTTTTTTTCGGCTTTATCGGTTGAATCATTCAACGGAGAGACACAGAGATGGAGGTCTGGTTCATTATCATCGTCTCGCTTTGCGTCTCTGCCCTCATCAAATCTCTCTTCAATCTTGTCTGTGTCTCATATTCCTCTTCTACAAATGATATCAAGACGACGAACAAGAAGAAGAAGAAGAATCTCCCTCCAGGACCTCCTAAAATTCTGATGATAGGAAAATTTCTATTGCGGCGCAAGTCACTCTCAGAGATGGAAACCATCCTCAGGGACCTGATGGTCAAATACGGCCCTCTCATTACCCTAAACTTCGGCTTTCGTCTGTCCATTTTCGTTGGTAGCCGCTCACTTGCTCACCAAACCCTCATACTGAACGGCGCCGTTTTCTCCGACCGCCCAAAATCCACGCCCACCCGGAAAATTTTCAACCGCAACCAGCACAACGTGAGCTCTGCCGCCTACGGCCCCAACTGGCGCCTCCTCCGCCGCAACCTCACCTCAGAGATCCTCCACCCCTCCCGCATCAAGTCCTACTCTCACGGCCGTCGATGGGTCCTTGGTATGCTAATTGATCGCCTCCTCAAATCTGCCCAATTGGGAGGAGAGGTAAGGGCGGTCGATCATTTCCAGTACGCCATGTTCTGTCTGCTGGTCTTTATGTGCTTTGGTGACAAGCTCGACGAAAATGAAATCAAACAGATGGAGACCGTACAACGCCGGTTGCTTTTGAATTTCGGACGATTAAACATTCTCGATTTCTGGCCTAGCCTCGGAAAGATTGTGTTCCGTAGACGATGGAAAGAGCTCTTACAGATGCGCCAGGATCAGGATAACATACTTATTCCTGTTATCAATGCTCGAATTAAAGGTGAACAACAGAGACAGAATGAGGAGCGAAACGTTGAGGAGGGCGTGGTGGCGTACGTGGACACACTGGTGAATTTGGAGCTGCCGGAAGAGAAGAGAAAGCTTAGCGAGGGAGAGATGGTGAGCCTGTGCAGTGAGTTTCTTAATGCCGGCACTGACACCACATCAACCGCTCTTCAGTGGATCATGGCCAATTTGGTGAAGTACCCTCACTTTCAGACCAACTTATACGAAGAGATCAGGAGCGTTGTGGGAGCACCTCCGCCCAGAAAAGGGGAGGGCAGGGGAGAAGAAGAGATGGTGAACACCATAGAGGAGAAGGATCTGCAGAGGATGCCATACTTGAAAGCGGTGGTGTTGGAAGGTCTGAGACGTCACCCACCGGGGCATTTCGTGTTACCCCACACTGTGACGGAGGAGGTGGAGTTGGATGGGTATGTGGTGCCCAAGAACGCCACCGTGAATTTCATGGTGGCTGAGATGGGTTGGGACCCAGAGGTGTGGGATGATCCCATGGAGTTCAAGCCCGAGAGATTTATGACTTCCACTGCCGCTGGTGATCACATGAAGATTAATGGAGGGGAAGCGTTCGATATTACAGGGACGAGAGAGATCAAGATGATGCCATTCGGTGCGGGGAGAAGGAGATGTCCTGCCTCTGATTTGGCATTGCTCCACTTAGAATATTTCGTGGCCAATTTGATTTGGTACTTCGAATGGACGGCCGTCGATGTCGATCTATCAGAGAGTCAAGAGTTCACCGTGGTCATGAAAAACCCACTAAAGGCTCACCTCTCTCCCAGAGTCACATGCTAGTTCACTTCTAATGATATACGACTCACTACCTATCCAACACGGTCCAAATAATCATGGATACCCAGTACGACTCAACCGAGTTATATTTCAGTCATCAGTTACCTGCCAAGCCGATACGCCCACCTTGCTATCCTACTCATCATAATTTCTTTAGTTGATTTATTGTCAATAGCTTTTCAAAGGTTTCTGATGCTATATAAATTTTGGGTCTTTTATGTAAGTCAAATAACTTGATCATGTTTTTCATACTCCAATTTATACTTAGCATTGACTTGATGCCGAATGCACAAAATAGTGTCATATGATAGAGTTGAATAGGTATAAAGAGCCTACTGAAGATGTTCTTATGTTCTTAAGCTATAGATTGAGATAAATTCGTATTTACCTTAAATAACCATTTTCTCTAAAAGTTATTAAAAATAGTATAACTTAAGTATTTATATTAAAAATGATGTAATTTAAATTTTTATATGTCAACACGTTCTCCAATTTACAAACTTGATTTTGTGCTTAGTAAGAACACAAGACCTACACTTTTGATACTATCTTAAATTTTGGGCTTAGTTCACCATCTTGAGTTCAAAGGTGGTGCCTGGACAAAGCCCTGGATGCCGCATATCTATATGCAGGTTTTTGGCTTGTCATGGAAGGATTATGTTGGGTTGGATTTCAATCCGAATCTAATTCAATCCAATGCAAAATAGTCTGGATTGATTTATTCCTAAAAAATATTATTTCATCCTATCCCATCTTTGAATGAAGAATATTTATTTTGTGAATCTCATTCACATGAAAGATGATGAAATGATAATTGCACTCTTTGTAAAGAAATCTAATCCAGTCTTATACCAACTTTGGATTGATACGAGGTCAAGAATTTAATTAGGATGATTAGGTACTTCTTTTTTAACCTCGCAAGTTTCATAGTTTAATAAATTGCATTTTAAACAGCACAGAGTTGATTTTTTTTTTTTAAAAAAAATATTATTGAACCATGTGCTAATGTCTCTTGTTTGCACAGATTCCGAAACAATTTCGTTTGAATGATTGTTTTCCAATATTCTCTACAACTAAAAAATTGACACTAACATGAATTCATTGAATAAAAATTTATTATTACACTGATTGATTTGGCTTGCCTTATAATAAAATTATGGTTTTGTTTCAAACTTATGCAGTTATGTTACCTGATCTTTTTTCATTGTTGTTGATATTCAAGATCATCAGGCATTTTAGTGGAGTTGTTAGCCAAAATTTTTGGGGCTTCATGATAATTTTTTAATTTATTGTTTCCTTTTTTTTTTTCCTCCTTTTCTTGATCTTCTTCGACAAAAATTTGAAGAATACCACATTGAAAGGGAGGTTCTAGGACAGAAAGGGGTGTGTGTGGATGTAGAGAGAGAGAGAGAGAGAGAGTTCAGCTTCATCAAATTGCAAAAGTTGGTGGTTGGATTTTTCTAAAAATTTTCAACCAAAATCGTGGACGAATTCATGGAACACTTCACTGGGCTGAACTTGCCGACATGAAGAGAGACAGATCTCTCTAGAGAGAGGCGGGGGAGAGAGAGGGTACAACTTCATACAATTGTAGAAGTCAGTGGTTGGATTTTTGTAAAAAATTTCAACGTAAATCTTGGGGGAATTCATGGACCACTCTTAGTGGGTTAAACTCGCATACACTGAGACAGAGCGAGAGAGAGCAAACCAGACTTGAGTAGCAGATCAGACCGATAGAGAGAGATAACAAATCTGCTCAAGAGAGAGAATAGATCTAATGTCATCCATCCCTAGATCGCAATGAAGATGATGATATATATTCTTCACGGAAAGTTCAATACGACACACATTAAAAACGGATGAAGAAAGGATAGAGAGAGAGAGAGTGAAATATGGATAAAAACCCTAAATTAGTTACTATGGACGGAATTTTAGATATTTTGCAACTAATCCAACCTTTGTGCACTTCACAATCTCACACTTGATATTGGATACATGAATCTGGCCGAGAGAGGATTGAGGCCTTTAAAAGCTACGGCCCAAGTTTTTTAAGAACAACGAATATCCCTTCTCAAAAACTTAGCCAAAGTAAGGATATGTAGGACCGCTACACAATTTTAATCACATCCTCTGGTAATCCGAGTCTCGCTAAAATGACAAATTTCATGAAATAAATTAACACAAAATATGGTCAAATTATAATAATTAATTTGATTGACTTTAAGTAAAAAATATAGTATTGACTCTTTTTGGCATGTTTGTCATGTGCACTGTCCTCTGATTTTCGATGAATTTGATGAAGTTGATGAATTTGGTGAGGATGAGGGCCAGATTGGCGTATTTCTCACTCTTCAATTGGTGGCTTTGATGAAAATGAGAGCTGAATCAATGTATCTCCAACTCTTCAATTTGATAATGCTTTTGATGAATCTCCTCACCGTTCTTCGTTTGGAATGATTTGAAGATGATTTGAATTTCTTGAAGAAGGACCTTGGCGGTGTGTTCTTCTTCTTCGAGATGAATTTGCAAGGCTTTAGTGAACTTCGAGCAGAACTTCGCCGATCTTCCTTTCTCCTTGACTTCTTCTCCTCTTTCTCCTCCTTTTGACCTACCCCAGACCTCTATTTATAGTGGTAGGAGTAGTTATCCATATAAAGGTATTTTATCTAAATACCCTTATGTGGACTTTAGGTAATGGGCTACCCATAAATTTGTGGGCTTTAGTTAATTTATGGAATTTAAGTCCAACTTTTTAAATGTTTGTTTAATTTGGGCTTATGGAATTTAAGTCCATTTAATTTAGCAAGCCTTGTTAATTATCTTTTGGCTTCTATTATTTGGGCTGTGGAATTTAGGTCCAACTCAAGCTTATTTAATTACATTTAGACTTTTATCATTTGGGCTTATGAAATTTAGTTCCAACCCAATTTTATTTATCTAATTGATTTGAGCTCAATTATAGACATTAATTTGTTAATTAAATTTTTAATGCCTACAAATGCCCCCTCGAGACTAATTTACATATTTAATATTTTTATGAATTTATCAATAGGTCTTGATTTGTATTAAAAGAAATTTGATTTAATTTAATTCATACATATATTTTGATTGAAATTATAATTCATGCTGAACCCTAAACAAGATATAGAATTCAACTTAGATATTGTTTTCTAGTTCTCTACTGGTATAGAGTCCAAAACCATATAGGCTTCATAATTCTATTTTTATTTATATATATGAGTCCTAAAATATAGACTTCTAACTTAAGTCAGAAATCTTTTTTTTTACTAAAACATGTGAACCTAAAAATAGACTTTTAATTCATCTATGATTAGGATAACAAATCCTTATTTTAACTTAAATACATATAACTAGAATGTTTATATATATGAAGCTATGTGTACTCAAAATTTTATAGTCAGCAAGATAGTCCACGAGTTTGAACTTTGAATTAAGTTTGTAAGGTATTACTTTTACCCCTTTTTTGTGTTATTTTAATATATATATATATATATATATATATATATATATATAGTAACAAGTGTGAAAGACATGTGAGTACTAGAGAATCACAAGATATAAATATAAGAGTGGAGGATTGGATTATTAAAATCTTATTTAAATGAACAAAATGAGCTAATGGAAGTAAGGGAATAGGAGTGAGAGGCTCTTCATTTGCATCATTAGTGCTAGTGTTGTAAGTATTTTATTTTTGTTATTATAATTTGTATCTTGTTCATTTAAACAAGATTTTAATAATCCAATCCTCCACTCTTATATTTACATTTTGTGATTCTCTACTACTCACACGTCTTCCGCACTTGTTTACTTGTTTATATTTTGGTATCAAAGCCATTTAACGACCTGGATAGCCATTCATACAGTTATATTTGAATTGTCTTACTTGTATTAAATCTCTTTCATTTCAATTTATTAAATTATTGTTTAGTTTGGTCTACCTTTGTCACCCAGCCTTTGTCGGTTCAAGAGGGGCGAGTCTCAATTTAGTCCAGTTTGTAAGTCCTCGTGTGTAGGTAGCCTTAGGATGCAGAGACATACCATGAGAACATGTATGTTAGGGGGTATGTACAATGGAGTCAAATTTAAACATAAATTTATAAAATTAAAAAATTAGATTTAATAATGAATAAATTATTCAGATCTAACTCTATGGCTAGCTCATCTAGATCTTCATTTAGTACTATACCTAATATAGTAAATGAAGAAGAACATGAGTTTGGAGAAACTAGAGTTGATCGGAGAGGATGGAACATCCCAAAAGTCTCCCATAGAGACATATATAAAACCAATTGGCTTGCAAAAACCTTCAATGAGGAATTGCAAGTAAAAACTATTGAACAAGTTTATTTCCTCAGTAAGGATAAAGAAACTTGTCAGTTACTTAGTAAAGACACTCTTAAAAAACATAAGTCCAAAGGTTTTAATTTTATTCACCTTGGCTTAGTACAAGTTGCAATTAAACCCCTCATTCAACAAGGGAAAAATGCAGCAGCACTATTAACCCTAAGAGATGCTAGGTTCTTAGATTATGAACCCAGTATTTTAGGATTAATGGAAACAGTTCTTCACAAAGGACCAGTTTATTTCAATTGCTTCCCAGACTTCACTTTTAGTTTAGGTTGCAAAAACACTCCTATGGCACTAACCTTAGGAATAAAATTGTCATGTCAAATAACCAGACTAGTAGATGAAACAGAATCAATTGTCCTCATCTATAGGATTTATTATAAATGCATTAACACAAACCTGAATGTGCATGCATTACAAAAAAGTCTTATTGGTAGTACATTATTGATTCAAGCCAGTACTAGTCAAACTAATATCCAAATTCTGAAGCAGATCCAATGGAAGGATGTGGTGCTTCCAGAATCTTGGATAGTAAAAAATGAAAACCATAACAAAGATAGTAAAAATCTCAAACTTAGAAAGTGTCCAGCAGTTTACTGATGGAACAGTAAGAATCTCCTTTGACTTTGTAAGATCCAGTAAATCAAGCAGATCAATTAATACACCTATCCAAATTAATGGAGGTAGGAAATCTGATGTTTATTCTAGCATCTCCAAAAGAGATAAAGAATTAACAGAAGAAATTGAAAAAAAATTTAAGTTAAAAGGAATCGATAATTCCACCCCACAGATTAGTAGACCGTGTTACATTCCACATCAGAGTGTTCCACAATCTTGTCATAGGAATGAAGAGGAAGAAGATGACTCCACCCCTTCACCTATAGCCAGTGACCTTCAGAGCACTGCTCCTATAGTTCACCAGTTACTCATGATTAGGAAAGATAAAGGTTTATTCTTACCTAATATGATTAAACT